TTACAGTCTATAGACTGTGTTAGTCACATATTACGCCGTTATCTAACTACCGAATGAGATATGGCTACAATTCAAGTAGAGATAAGCATTGAAAGAAATATCTCAAATAATTTAGGTTCCTTTCGTGTAATTTCCCATATAGTGAGTACAAGGGTGTAATTCACAGAGGCAATTGTACAAAGAACAAGCTCAATAATGATATGGAGAAAAACCTTCATCCTGGTATGCACTATGTGGATCCCAGTAAAACAATAAAAGCACCATATAGTCAAGGGGATGTTGTTGTGTTGTGAGAAAATGCAGGGCAACAATGTGCAGCAATGAATTTATGTGCATTTAAATATACCACAATTTGAAAGGCATAGGCAATCTCAATGAATTGAAACAAATGATGCATATTGGAAGTCAACTATATAGCAGTTTGTCACAATTATCAAGACAATCATTTTTACTGCAAGCAGATTTAACATCAATGCCTATAGTACTAGGGGAAGATTACCAGCTAGAATACAGTGAAAGTGACACTGGTAATGTCCATGGTGGGCCTACCATTGAGGGATATCAATACTGTATGGGCCTGAAAAGAGCTTTTGAATCACATATATCAGAACGGTATAAGTCATTTATTTTAACAGTTGGATGCATTGCTGTGGGTATCAGTTACTGTGCGGACAATGGCCATTTTAAAGTGTTTGACTCACATGCTAGAGATTTTCATAGTAAAAGTCATGTTTGAGGACCGTGTTGTATCAGTATATCATCTACAGACAACTTAGTGCATTACTTCCAAAGTTTATATGGAGCAACTGATCTGTATGAACTAAAAGGTTTACAAATTACAAAATATGACATGGCAATAAGCAACAATGTAAGAGAAGTATTAAAGAGATCATCAGGTCAACACAAGTGTTACAAAGACCACTGTTTTGCAGTAGTTCTTTATTCTTTATGTTACTTGATCATTTTGCCTTGTAGTTACTGGAACTCAAATACCTTAGATGCAATCATTGAAAATCAGGATCTCAGCTTAACAATGCAATGCACAGTAAGCACTGTTTAACACCTGTTACCCTGCCTGATGGTGTTACAATTTTTGGCACTAAGATAAATGTACATGTTAATGAAGTAAGTCACAGAGAATTAAGTAATTTAACTGAAAGGAGGATATCTCTAGAGACCTTGATTTTGAGAACCACACTGGGAAAACAGGCTTTTTAATGTGGATTTCAAGTTACTGTGTAGCTTGTATTTATCAACAAAATATAAAAGTAAAGCAATTGTTTTCTCTTCTGACATATGAAGACAGTCCGGTCATTCACCTGCAATGAAACAGACAAAACACATTTGTGGTGTAAATAATCTAGTAGAGGAAATTAATAATGTTGAGAGTAAATAGGAATGACTATGAAATAGGATATACAATTTATTTGCTGTTCATGTAAAATTACTGAAATTGAAAGGAAATGCTGTATGAGAAAACACAGAAAAAGATTTATGTATGACAGCATGGAACCTGTTCCCTAAAAAAGGTTTCTAGAAGACATTGAAGGAAAATATTCAACTATGGATGCTACAAAGAAGAAAGAACTACTTTCCCAACACAATGAGAAACTAGTGAAAGCCAGATTGGTTGAATTGTGTATTAACCAGTTGAAGAGGAAAATAAGAGAAGGCCCTTATTTCATATGTACTGTCTGTAATCAAATACTTTAAAAGAAATCAGTAATAACATGCATAAATAAGAAGTACCCTTGCCTAACATATTTCAATATTCAACAGTCATTTGATGGAAAACAGTAGATATGTAACACATGTCATTCAAAGGTCATAAAAGGAAAATTACCATGTCAGGCTGTAGTGAAAATATGTATGTGGATGAAATACCCACAGAACTATTCTCACTAGAAAAACTAGAACAAATACTAATAGCTTAACAAATAGTATTTGAGAAGATTGTGGTCATGCCTAAAGGACAACATAAAAATTAAAGGTGCAGTATGCAATGTACCTGTAGAATGTGATCAGACCTGTGATCGATTCCCTTGTCCACCTGACAGATCTAGTATTAAATGATAATGGTTAAGCTTAAAAGAAAGTAACAATTTAGAGGATATGTTTATTTTCAAGCTATATGACCAGAGTTAATACAACAAGTTCTTAACTGGCTCAAAGTGCATAATCCATTATACAAAGATTTAATTATAGTAGCTGATATTACCAATATTGATAGCAACCTCACAGCTTTACAAAATGATGCAGATGATGATGATACACATCAACAAGTTACATCAAACAATGTAACAACAGATAGTGATCCTGCATTGGAGTATGATGCAAGAGAAAATGATAAATTAAATAGTAATGTAGAAGAAAATGATGACCCCTTAAATGAATGTAGAGCCTCAGTATGCAAGACATGTTCAGAGTCAATAAATACCAAACTATCCAGTTATTACAGATAGTGAGCAGTCAATAGGAAATGAAGTCTATAGTATAGCACCAAGAGAAAAGACACATCCTGTCTCATTTATGCTTGATAAACAATGTGAAGAACTAGCATTTCCAGTATTGTTTCCTAAAGTTAGATATGGGTACACAGAAGAATGACAAGTTACAATTTCACCAGTGAAATACTATTCAAATGCTAGACTTTTACATTACAGTGGAAGGTTTGCCACAAACCCTGAAAACCTCTTTTTTGCACAATTCATAATTGAACAAAAGAAAGTATCATAGTATAAATATTGCTCTAAAGAAGGTTCATGGCCAATATGTCACTGCTTCTCCATTAAGAGCCAATCCTCAGAGATTAGTTAACCTTATTTGCCAAGATCAAGCATATTTATTTCTGATGCAAATACCAGGAACACCACCATACTGGCAAAAATTCATGTATGAAGTAATTGTAATGGTTAAACCACTTGGCATTCCAACATGGTTTGTGACGTTGTCTTGTGCTGATTTAAGGTGGCCTGAATTGCTTCGAATATTAGCAAGAATACAAGGCAATGATTTAACTGATGAACAAGTTGATGCACTGTCTTACAATGAGAAGTGTCAAACACTCAACCTTAATCCTGTTGTAGTCACTAAACACTTTCAGCATAGAGTTGAAACATTCTTTACTGAAGTGTTGCTCACTAGTGCTAATAAAACCAATTGGTAAAATAGTGTTGGGTTTGAAGCCAATGTAGACTTGCAGCCAGTGTTTGATCATTACAAATGCAAAACTTATATCTGCTCTTATTTCACAAAGGATGAAATGAATGTTCACAAACAATAGTGAATGCAGCCAATGAAGCTAAAGCTGGGAACACAAACATTAGAGATGGCTTAAGAAAAATAGGTGCTGCATTTCTATCAACAAGAGAGGTTAGCTCACAAGAATGTGTATACAGATGTATGCCTGAACTCTGGCTGAGGAAAATTTTCCCTGCAACAGTATTTGTCAGCTGACTTAGTAGAAAAATGGGTATGTTGAGTTACTAAGACAAAACAAGAACTTAGTGACTTGGATGATGACAGTACAGATATATTCAAATCTAACATCACTGAACACTACTGTAATAGACCAGCCTCAGTTCCTGCTGCAGGTAATATTTGTCTCGCACAATTTGCAACTTATCACATCATGGACTATAGAAAAGAAAACATTGAAACCATTGATGCACAACCAGAAGTGCTTACAGATGACATAATTGAAATACAACATAGTAATAGCAATTCTAGTGATTCATCATATTTGCCTAAAAGATATCATTGATGAATAATAATGAAACTATGAAATGTAGAAAAGTCAAAGCTGTTATCATATATCATAGACCAAATAAAAGAAAACAACCTTAACTGTTTTTCCATCATCTACTTATGCTATATTAGCCATGGAGGGATGAATCTAACCTCCTTGGAAGTGATCATACATGTGTCAAAATTCAATGAACTAGGAGCACAAGACATTGTAGAACATAACAGAGCAATCTTTGAACCTGACTCAGAAGCTGTAACAGAAGCACTAGAATGGCTAAGAAACAACCATGGCACTGCCATACATTCATATGACCCTATAAATGATCAAGAAAATGCTGAACTACAACTAGAATTCCAAGATGAATCATCAGCAGATGAGGTATTCAATGAACAAGTACCCTTACAGCTTGCTGCAAATTTTCAAACCACTGAAAATTGTGGTCCATCAGCAATAACACTATTAAATCAGCCAACAGAAATATCTCATGACCAATTATGTCAATCAGTTGGATCATTAAATAACATGCAATGCAAAGCCTATGACAGGGTGCTTTCATGGACTAGAAATAAAATGAAAAACCCCCACAGCCTGAATTCACAAAATGTGGAACCAATTTATCTGTTTATAACTGGAGGTGGTGGTGCTGGAAAAAGCCATTTGATTAAACCAATATACCACACTGTTGCAAAAATGTATAAATATACTCCAATGAATCCTGAGAAACCAACAGTCTTACTAACAGCACCAATAGAGTAGCAGCAACAAACATTCATAGTACAACCATCAACACAGCATTAGCAATACCTAAAAATACAGGTGATGTCCTACCTGCAATGTCTGACCAGAAAAGAACACAAATAAGATTATTGCTGTTTGAGCTGAAGCTAATAATAATAGATAAGATCTCGATGGTTTGTAACACTACTCTCCTCCATATTCATCAACAATTAAAAGAGACATTTGATGATAACTACTCACAGCTTTTTGCTGGTACAAGTATTATTGCTCTCGGTGATTTATATCAGCTACTTGCACCAATTCAAAGAAAATTAGTTTTTGATAATTATGCAAATAATTCTTTTAATTTTTGTCACCCTTGGCATGCATTTGAAATGATTGAGCTTACAGAAATAACGAGACAAAAAAATGACCAACCATTTACTGAACTTTTGAATAGATTTAGAACTGGAGCCCAGACTCATGAAGAAATCTGCTGCATTCAGTCAGGATCAATAAGTTCATTAGACAGCAATTACCCAACAGATGCTCTACACATGAGCTGAAAACATCCCAGTAGACCAACACAACAATACAAAATTAGCACAGATTCCTAAACCTATGTTTACCCTGAAAGTCACAGATCAATATCCTAATAATGTCAACAAACAAGATATTGACACAGTATTGGCAAGAGGAAGATCTGAAATTGGTGGACTTGATTATGAACTTACTTTAAAAGAAACAACAAAAGTGATGCCTACAGCTAATATTGACATCTCAGATAGACTGATCAATAGTCAGATTGGTACAGCTAATAGTCAAGATATATGTCACTCCAAATGCCCAAAGGCCATCAATAATATTCATTAAGTTTGATGATAATAAAGCAGGACAAAACATGATAAACAGTAGCAATAACCAATATGCTAAAGAACACAAAGTAGTTCCTATTGAACCCATCTTGGCAAAGATAAAAGGGATACCTAATAAGCCATAATCACCTGAGATACAAAGAATACAGTTTCCAATTACAGTAGCATGGGCTTGCACCGTCCACAAAGTACAAGGACTGACATTGGATATAGTATTTATAAGCTAATTCATCTTAACAAACAAAGAAGCTTTAACTATGGTCAAATATACGTCGCAATAAGTTATAATAAAACATTACAAGGTATTTACGCACTTGGAAAAATTGAACACAAGCATGTTAGAGCAAATCCTAAAGTACAAGAAGAATATGAAAGATTAAGAAATGTAGTAGCAATCATCATCTGCAATCAACAAATGAACCAAAGTGATCCAACACTGTTAGTTATCAGCCTTCTTAATATCAGATCTCTTAATAAACACAGTATTGACACAAATTTTGATTCTTCAATTTGTAATAGTGACATGACATCTTTTACAGAGAAACAACCTCTACCCAATTCCAATGACAATCAAATAACAGAAAATTTACAATCATTTACACTGTTGAGGCAAGATCATGTTTCACACAGATTTTCTAGAATAGCACTATGTGCTATACTATGAATATTTTCCAGCCATGAATACAATTAAAACTCTCCTTGTTTATCATATTACTGACATAAGCAAATCTGTTATTTTATTTTACAGAAGGCACAGTTCTAACATCTTACAGTACATTAATGGTATATTAGAAATATACTGATCTGTTGTGATATTGACCTGGTTCTTGGTGACTACAACATTAACTTTTTGAATCACGATGAAATTAAACCACTTAAAATTTTAATGGATTCTCTACATTACATTCAAGTAGTACAAAGTCCTATGTTTGTATCTGCTGGAAGTCTGCTTGACCATGTTTATGTCAAATGCAGCCATTGCCATATCATTAAACGTTCTGTGCTAGCTGTCTGTTACCCTGAGCATGATGCCATTAAAATTTCAGTAAATTCCACACCATCTATTTCATAATTAATGACTACCATTTTTTAGAGCCAATTTTGACATATAAGTAAACGTAAGATTTGAACTTATATTTTCTTACAACATTTAACCATCAAAAACTTGCCAGAACTGACAATGAACTGAATGTTTGTCCAGCCCTCCCAGCCTAATACATCATATGGATCCTGATATACATTATGCATATCAGCCAGCCTGGATCCTAATCATGTAGTCAATTACGTTCTCCATTGTTTAATAATTAAGCTCATATATACAGTCAAACCCCTATTAAGCAGCCACCCTCGGGGAAATGGAAGGTGGCCGCTTAACAGGGGTTGGCGTACTTTGAATACTTTTTATATTTGGGTGCCTGCTTTGTGAACATAGCATCAAGTCAAACGTGTTTGAATTTCTTCAATAATCGTCACTTCCTATTTCACACTCTTAATAATTATTGTCATCACCTTCTCCAAAACAAAGCCAAAGTAAGGGAATAACATTTTAGGTTGTCGCTATATAGAGGTGAAGGCAATAGAAAAACCGCATCGGGATGACTAAACGGTGGCCATGGCCGCTTAATAGAGGCACAGGCAGACAACACTGTAGGTTTGAGGCCGCGTGACGTCAAATATTTGATACGTTAGTTGAACTCTTACATTGTTTGGCAACGGTCGATCTCTTTCATCCCCAAAATCCGCTTAATGACAGTCAGATAGATAAAGTTCACTCACTTTCGTTTTTCTGTGTTGTCTCGAGTGATTTTGCGGGGCAAAGGCAAAGGCAAAGGAAAAACACAGGGCGTGCAACTTCCACGACCGTCTGGGCCGAAAGCCTCCAGAACTTCGTCAAATTTCTACCACTTCCAAATTTTGCTCACCTCCCAGCTTCGGGCATGTTAAAGTTCGGTAAACGCATAAGAGCCAAGCCAAAAATCAGTGCAATTGCCCACCTCAACCACCTCAAAAGCCTGCTCGATTTCCGACATTTGCTCACCATGTCGTCGACGTCGATCATTAGCCTCCGATTGACCGTAATAAAATTAATTAATAACTAACCGAGCTCAGACTACACCCGACCCTCCCCACGCCAGGGCTGCCCAGTTGAACACTACACCACGCAAGTCGCGACACAAAGTTTTGACGTCCAATGGCAACGTCGTAGTCTAAATAACGCAGTCTAATGGTCGTTTCATTCAAATAATTCAGTTTCGTGCAGCTACTTGTTATGTCCTCAACTAAATCTTTAAAACGGTACTCAGCAGCACTAACCAGACGACTCGAAACCATGAAGATTTTTCGCTTGCCTTTCACGTAATCAACTTTAACTTGAAACTCCATGTTTGATATTGGAGCTATACGAAAAAACACGCAATAAAATCGACAATAACGGAAAGCACAAGCGAGCCAAGAAGCGCCGCCTAAGTGCCGAGTCGAGTCTTCGCGCGCTTTGTTTCCATTGGATACATTCCCGATGCCATCGGAAACGTCAAAGTTTTGACGTCGAAACTTTGTATGTTTTACACACGAGTAGATAAACTGACTGTTGGCGCAAATAACCGTCAAAAGGATAATAAATGGATCATGATCTATACGCTGGAAAGAACTGTTTCTTACTGAGTCTTCAAAAGAAATACGTGTGACACTCCACGCTTTCTCGGAAAGGAAGAGTGTTTGGTTTCTAGCGGAGAGATTATGATCCAGGTGGAATTCCTGCACATCACGAATGACAATGTAACGCAACTGATTGTTTCTTCAGACAGAAAATAAAAAGGTTTATGAACAAGATTTGCATGAGGAAACCTTTTTTTGAGATGAAGCAAATCGCACTTCTTTTCTACAACATATACACTGAACAAAACATCGGTAAAGTGAACTGTTTCTCTACCGTAACAGCTGAAATCAATGAGCCTGCTTATGCAATCAATGAGCCTGCTTATGCAAAGTTCTGATCTTAAAATTTCGTGTTTGTTGTTTTGCTCACGCAGTTCAGGTCGAGCATAGCAGAATGCAGAGGTTATGTGATTGTGTTATTTGAAATGGGTAACAAAGCATCCATATGTGATGAAGTAACTGCAGCTTATCAAGCTGCTCTTGACAACGGTTCTGATCTGCTTGATTTGCTTAAGGAGGTGAACACCGAATTAAGAAAAGCCGCTCTGAAAACAAAAATCAAAGATGGCGACGACCATGCTACTATTCTCATCATCGCTGCTCGTGATGGAAAACTGGATATTGTGAAGGTTCTTTTACGCTATGAAGCAAATGTCGAGGCCCGTGGAACGATTAAGTTTGACTGAAAAGTTATAGAGGATTGTACAGCTTTGTGGGTCGCTGCTGCTAAAGGTCATTTTGATGTTGTGAGACTCTTGATAAAACAAAACGCCGAAGTCGACGGCAGAACATCGAGTAATTCGACTCCGTTGAGAGCTGCTGCCCTTCATGGACACCTTGATATTGTGCGCTGTTTGGTTGAGAACGGGCCGATGTAAATGCACGCACTAATTTCGGTAGTACTCCTCTGATGTTAACATGTTACAAAGGCCACCTGGATGTTGCTTCCTATCTTGTCAAACACGGCGCAAACGTAAATCTACAAGACATCCATGGACGCTCGTGTCTTCATAATGCTTTGAAAGGGGGTCACGTTCAGGTGGTTGGTGACTTGCTTGCTTTAGGAGCAAAACAAACACAAAATCTAAACCGTTTAACACCACTTCTTGAAGCCAGTAATGATTGTAAAATTGAAATGGTG